TCGATATATTTTTGTCAAATTTTTATGATATCTTCAAACATATATTTTATTCAAAAATAAAAACATCATCGTTTTCTCAAAATTACATAAAGTCATATTATAACATCGACTGAGATAAAGAATAAAATGAAAAATTAAAATCACGATGTATCTCGTTGCATTGCGCGAGTACGCTTCTAGTATAATATAATGGTTTCATTCCTTCAGAAGTCGAAATTGTCGTTCCTGGTTAAATTGGGGTATTGAAAATTCATTCCCTTGTTATTTTCATTCATTTATCTGAACCAAATAACCGCTTTTGAAGTTAACTCTTAGATTAAGGTGTTGGAGGTTCCTTCATTTTTTTTATTAATCAATCTGATTTATATCATATCGGAATCTGGTGGTGTATGAACGACTTGACCCAACAATTGGATAGTATTACATGTGATTGATTTATAAAAAGAAGACGATGTTTAATGTCATCACATTTAAAATATTTTTCTAAAACTTTACATTTGACAAAACAAATTTTTACCTCCAACCCTTTTACCATCCTTAATTTTTTTATTAACTTGAATATCCAACCCCGTTATGCTAGTCTATTAATCCTAGAACGACCGCTTACTTTACAGATAATCCGGAGTCACCATATTTGAACCTCTGTATCCACAAAAAGATTTTTATTCCTATTTGGATTTGAACATAAGCCCTCCAAATACTTTTAACTTTTATAGTCAAGCTACTTTTAAAGTCAAACTCACATCAATCAGCATACCATCTCTAAATTTTATGACACTTGAGAGGGGTAGCAGTTTTTGGAATCTCCAAATCCAAACTGTCTGAAAACCGAATTATGCAAATAACATTTCAAGTAAATCGAATCAAGTTTCATTAAACCCGAATTAACAGATGAACTACTATTGGGCTGTTGAACTTTTGCAGCAATTCGTTTCACGGTGGGCAAACTTGAGATCATCGGTGAACAACTTTATAAAATGAAGATCTTACTTTAGGTTAAAATTTTCATTTTAATCTTGCACCCGTAGCATTGCCTAACTGGATCTGAATCTGTCCATGAAATTCTCACCGGAACCTTGCATCTATAATAGAGTATTGATCCATGGAGCAAGAACTAAGAGGAGTGGTTCTTCAAACTATACGCTCTAAAAGAGGGGGAAATTTGTTTTTCGATGAGAATTGCGAAGGATATAGGTTGAAAAACCCTAGCTACAGTGAACGATTATCCAACGTAAGTTGCTCATGATCGACAAGTTATGCTAACGTCATACCTGCTCGCCGCCGGCGAAAATATAGGCGCTGCGGAGTGGTCAATGGGGCGATGGCACCGGAGACAGCTGTCGTGATTTGACATTCGTCGGTGGTGGACGGTGGCGATTGGACTTAAAATGCGTAGGTGGGCTCTATTTGAGGAATATAATTCGCGCGCTTTTTCTTGAGGTCCCACCGTTTACAGTGGTATGAAGGGAATAGCTTTTCTCGATACTGGATATTTGGTCCCTGTACTTTTACTTCTATCTCAAATAGGTCCCTGTACATTTGCCAATTGAAGAACATCATTGAGCTATGCTTAGGGGTTGCTTGTTTACCTCTTAATAATTACATTAAGAAGCAGTTTCTGAACCGTTAAGAGGTAAATCTTGTTTGRMRAAAAAAAAATCTGCCTCTTAATGTATCTAAAACCCTCTGAATGATTTTGTATCATGTGTTTCCCTTAACCATTCAGCGCTCTAATTTCATTGTAAACAATTATCAAACAATTATATTTTATTTTGCACTATATCATGAGACTCTTAATCATTCTGACCACTTAGAGATCTTGAAGCTTCAAACTGTTTTGCAATTGACTTAAGACAACAATGAATAAACGCCACATGAATATAATTTAGATACGATATGAACATCAAATGTTAAGAATGTAAATTTTACAAAAACAATGAATACACTATTCCGAAAGTTAGTGAATAGTCTACCAATTCATGAATCAACTCATTGACCGTAGCACAACGACTAGGACTTATGTCAGAGGACTTTTGAGTGAAGAACACAAGGAAAGCAAGAGCTCGGGTATAAGATGGTTAAGTGGTCATTTGAGTTTCACAAGAAGTGGAGTTTCTATAACATAATCTTGTGTTCATCCCCAACTTGTGTTAAGACGGTGCAACTAAAAGAAAGATCGATTCTTTGGGATCCTTCCTTTCTTCAGAGCTAACTATCGAGACTTTGGATTATCCACAAATCCTCTTTTAGAGAATCGACCGTCCACTCATGCTTTGGACGAGAGAAAGTCTGGGGGCTGGTTGCTCCGTTATATGCATRCTAATGGGGCAAGTATGTTTCTCCTTTTCTGTCATAAAGAGGAAGTGAGATGATGACAATGCGGCTGTTTGAGCTAGGTCGTTGTGCTCCTGCCACCTCTTGGCAAAGTAGGCTGCTGGTTACGGAAATGATCTACCTTTCTAATTTTGATCTTGACATGTCGGTGTGGGCTGCTCGTTTAACCTCTGTATTAATCTCGTTCCTTATTTACATGGGCGAGAATGGATTCCTCGTCAAGTCAGTTTGGGAGGGTGTGGACACACGGACAGATACTCAGTGAAATGATTCATACCTCTCCCACGATGGTTATGGAGCCTGCATGGTGAGTGTTTTAGAGATAGCGCAAACTCTGTAAAGAATTTCTGTAGAATCTATTTTTCTATAACCTAATTTTTGTTTGATTAATTTTAAAAATGATGGACACAAGGTATTTTTAGAAATCACTTATGGTAACATGAATAATTACATATGTGTAAAAATTGCATACAAATCATAGTTTGGGGGTAATAATTGTCAAAATTGAAAACATGAGGATAGAAATTGCAAATGCTTGAAACTTTCAAATAGGAAGTTTGAGCCAGAGAGTCGCGGAACACCCCTAAGAACGCCATAACACAAAAAGGGGGAAAAAAGAAATTTAGCAAATTGAGATGGAAATGTGACACCTGTTGGCAGTATAACAAAAAGGGTGCGATGGATTTGTTCTTGAACAAGAAAACAGTTTGGCAGTTTCTTCCGGAGCAGACCTCCACTAAAAAACTTCTGTCTAGAATCACAGGCATTACATGATATGGATGTTGCAGAGGAAGGATCCAATAATCAGGTAAAAAGTGAGGAAAAGAATCATTCAGTTGATGTTGCCATTGACAAAGATTCAACTGATTCATTGGAGTCTGAAACATCTTGGTTCACCCCTAAGAGGTAGTCATTTTATGGTTGTTTTCTTTGTTGTTTGATTGTTCGAGAAGAGAATACCCAGCTAGAAATGTAGGAATCGGCAGATCTTTGATCTCTTTGTGTTCTTTTGGTTGAAATACAATGGGATTCTTGGGTACAATTTGCATTTATTGAGGTTTGATCGTACTTAAACGTTTCGTAGTGGGTATCTAGTATTTTTTTAGGCGATTATATATGTCACTGATCGCAGGAGCCAATTGTGGAGTGGCAATTAAATTGATGTACATAAGGAAGAAGAATTTAGAGTAAATTTGCAGGATAAATCAATCATTAATGCCGGATTTGATATTGATTTCATCCCCTAATATTCATCTGCATTAAGCTTAACCGGCTTTGAGGAGCTGTTGCATAGGAGGTGTTTGATGAAAAAAGTCTGCCACCAAAGGGCCAGTTACTCTCTTGGGTTGTTGGGCTGGATGGGTGAGGCTTCTTCCTTTTCAAACACACCTACAATAGCTGAGTGGTAACATCCAACAGATGGCTTTAAAAACCAGCATATTCTTCCTACTTTCTTATCGATCTTAGTCTCTTAGCCTTGCCTAGTCTCCCAGTTTTGGGAATCACCCTTTGGTATCAAATCATATCCTTTAAAGCATGTTCTATCTTGCAGAAAATCTCCAGAACTCCAAATTTTCTTCTTAACCATGTTTATCACATAAAGTTGAAAAAGGAATGAGTTAAAATATATTGGTTTCTTGTGTCGAGTTTAGGTGTATGTGTTATAATGTTTTGGCAGATTTGATGTCAGTTATAAGTATGAGCTGAAGTTGTGAGGGTAATTGACTGTATATTCTCAGGTTGCTTTTGTTATTCTGTGTGATCAACTTGATAACTTATTTGGATCGAGGAGCAATAGCGAGTACCGGTGTAAATGGGGTTCCAGGAAGTTGCACTCCAAATGGAGTATGCTCACATGGTACAGGAATTCAGTAAGTTATTTTTCACTTTTAGATTCATTTCATGGAAATATACCTGTTATCTTATCCTTAAAACTCTCAGGTTACTATTGCTTTTTCACTTTTCTGTGCTTCATCTACTTGTCTATTGACTTTTTTTGGCACTGAATACAGAAAAAAAGAGCTAATTATGAACTAAATATAATATCTCAAATCTTCTTGGACTTTTGACCACCAACAAGAAAAGCATAAAAACACTTGCATGACTATAATTCGTTAAGTAATTTTTCTAGAAATCACAATTGAAAGCATCAGTTCATTTCAAGTGCGGTGCAAAGTGATCTCTGATGGTGCGTGTTGGGTACTTGAAGAGAAATTGATATCGAGAACTAATTTCCATTAGTTTAATCATTTTTTAGGTAATCCTATAACCTTCCTTGGTTTGCAGGGGTGATTTTAATTTGAACAATGCTAAGGATGGTATTCTATCTTCTGCTTTTATGGTTGGACTTCTTCTGGCATCTCCAATATTTGCATCCTTGGCCAAGAGGTAATATGTGTGATCCATCATTAATCTCCTGCTACATCAATGCTTGCCACTTAAGTTGTAGGTTCATAGACTAAAATCGTCGACTATTGTACAACTTTTTGGAAGTATATAATATTTATACGGCAAATGCAACAAATAAACTCCCCCGCCCCCCTCATCTTTGGTGAGGATTTAACACCTTACCTCCTAGAAGGCCAAAAGGCCCAAATATCGCTAGACCAAAGGCCTTTCGTGAAGACATCAGGGTGACTTTGGAGCACCAAAGGTATTGCAGATGTCAGTTTGGAAGATATGCATTGACATGTTGCTCCTAGTACAAATCTTACATGAAAACCTAACAATTTTATTGTTAAAATAAAATTTGAACATTAAATTTGAACCTGGAGCACTTGTTAGAATAAATACTTTATGCTTCAGAAAACCTAACAATTTTATTGTCAAGTATAAATTAAGTTTTTGAGGCCAATTTCCATTTGTTTTTTATAAATAGGATTCTGGGATGGGTATACTTCGATATAATTTTTATTTATTGAAATGCAACAGACCCGCATCTTCTGTTACTTGTTTGTAAGAGATATTGTTCGCTTTGTAATAAAGCAATGTTCTTGTCCTGATTCAGTGTATTTTCGGTGCTTGTTCAATGAGCAGCATCAATCCCTTTAGGCTTATAGCAGTTGGGTTGTCAGTTTGGACTTCAGCTGCGGTCGGTTGTGGGTTTTCAATTGGTTTTTGGACGATCACAGGCTGCCGAATGTGAGGAAACTGATTCAAACACCTAAACGTGTCATAACATGCTACTTATCTCATTTTTAGTAGGTTTTTGAGCCTCCTCACTTTCAGCATGACATGCTACTTCTCTCTTTGGTATTTGCAGGCTAGTTGGTGTTGGTGAAGCTTCTTTCATAAGTCTTGCAGCTCCATTCATTGATGATAATGCTCCAGTATCTCAGGTTCCTGTCTTGCTGCCTAATTACCCCCACGTTCATATGTGCTGAATGTTTCCAAGATTTTTGTGGACATTGTCCATTAATGTACTTTGTGCTCCGGTCCAGGATAGTGTTCATTTCTGAGAGTAACCCTGAATAGTACAGTAGGTGGGCCTATGGTCCTGAACAGATGAACATAAGAAACCCAAATTAAATCTCCCAACACTCCTTGAGTTGGAGAATGGATATCAGTAATTCCCAACTTGATAACCAAACCATTGATGGATTTTTTCACAACAGAAAATGCAGAGAAAACCAAATAACTTGAAATGGAGAACTGAAAACAGGATGGAACAGACAGATAATGGCTTGTGCAGTGGACATATGAAACCTAATTCTAACCTAATTATGATTCAACCTCTAAACATATATCTTACAAGATTTTGGCTGCTATGATCAAATTCGTTTAACTTGTATGACCTTATTACAAGTTAAAGTGAATGAGCAAGTAAAGTGCTCATTTTTAGTCTTCTCCTTACCTGATTTGTTCTGTTTTCTTTTTTAATTCTCTACTCAATTATAGTGTTCTAAATTTTAACCTTGTTGGTTCTAAGGGAGATGGGAGGAATTGAACCTGAGGCATCACAATTAGTTTAAAGCCCAATTGGCTACTATATCACATCTTGGAGATCCTTATATGCTCAAGCTTTAACATCTTAATTTACTGATATCACTTCAAGCTCTTTAATTTGATAAGTTGACCTAAGAGGCTAAGACCGCCTACAAATTTGCCTTATTTATATCTCAATAGCTAAATTTGTATTTATTTTTTCATTACAGAGATCAGCATGGCTGGGAATATTTTACATGTGTATACCTTCGGGGGTTGCCCTTGGCTACGTTTATGGTGGACTGGCAAGTGACTATATCTTTACCTGAGTTTTGCTTTATCTACTATTTTTATTTATGCATATGTCATAAGGCCATACTAGCGGCTTGTGTTTCTTATATCTGTTTTCAGGTTGGAGATGCTGTCGGTTGGCGCCAAGCATTTTTTGGTGAGGCAATTATGATGGTGCCATTTGTTATCTTGTGCTTTGTAATGAAACCTGTGGAACTCAAAGGTACAATTGAACAAGTTGGCATTATGCTGTTAACAAATTTGCTACTTTCTGCTTGGCAATTTGATGATACATATTCTCTCATGTGAGGTCGTAAAAATCATTCGTAGTGCTGGAAAGAAGAGGATCTTGTAAAAATAAGATAATGCAGGTCTATTTAGGTCTTAGTTTAGTTAGCTTTATCTGTTGTTTTCATACTTAGGATAGACCCTTTTTAGATGGATTTTGTTTTTGGTAGATAACAGGAACGTACAACTTTTGGCTCATAGTTTGTATTTATGCAGGTTTTTCACACGATAAAGATGTCTCAGGGTCTTCGAATGAAAAGGTCACTGATAATAAGTCAGAGAACTCTACTGGGTGTGTTCTTGAATAAAGACCATATAAAAAGTTGGCTTTCTATAAAACCAATGATATCTAATTGAGGATTTCACCATTTTAAACATACACACAACCACTTCTTTTTGTTGCAGGTTATCTAACTTTTTCCGTGATGTCAACGTGCTTCTGCATGAGAAGATATATGTAGTGAATGTTTTAGGTACTTATTTTACACAATCTTTTCTAGAGAAACTTGCAGAGAAATGCTGATGTAACACATCCTAGTTGTGATAGTTTTGCAACCTTACTAAGTGTAATGCTAATCGTCTGCTTTTGGATGGTTTTTGTAGGCTACATGGCATACAATTTTGTCATAGGTGCTTATTCATACTGGGGACCAAAGGCTGGTTATAGCATATATAATATGGTAAGCGCATTTGACCCTATGTTGGATGCTGATTGTGTGTTGCAAGTGAGAGTAAAAGTTCAGATAAAAAATGAGTAGTTAAAAAATTTAAGCTGATCAAATTCCATCCGAGACTTTCATCTTTTGTAGAGCGATGCCGACATGTTGTTTGGAGCAATCACAATCGTCGGTGGAATCGTGGGGACGTTAGGAGGAGGTTTTGTCCTGGATCATCTTAATTCCACAATCCCCAATGCTTTTAAGGTACACAATTTCTTTGAAAATTATGGATACTTCCAGTATCATACTGTTCAGGAATAGTAATCTCTCTCTCATAATCTCCCTCTCTCTCACACACACACATGCACACAATCCTTCCTAGAAGATCAACCAGATGCCAAGTCTCATTTTCTCAAAAAACAAAATTTCCACATGCAAAAGCATACCACCTTCTTGGATGAGGCAGAATCTTAAGATAGCACAAGGAATTTGTTAACTATATGAGAGAAATGCAAATACGGCTTAAAGGATATATAAAAAAAGTATTGCTTGAATTGAAATGACAGCTCAAGAAAGGGGCAGGCTAGAAAGCATACGGGAAGAGAAATGCTTTTTTCTAAAGCGAGCTTTCCCAAATCCATTAATATGTTTATGTAACATAGTTCTTGCTTAACCGTACATTGAGCAGTGGGTACATCAGGTGTGTTTGGGGTGGAAAATATTGCTTAGTTCACCGGAAATGTGTAGGAATGGGAAGTTTGACCATTGGTTTTCATTTAGTTGTATTTTGTGATAAATTGGTCCTATTTGATTTAGAATAGATTATAAGGATGTTTTAATTTTGTGTTTTGTATTGATTGAATCTGTTTATACTCTGCAGCTTCTTTCCGCAGCAACGTTTCTCGGAGCTGTATTTTGCTTTAGTGCCTTTTGCTTCAAGGACATGAACATTTTCATAGTTCTATTTCTAATTGGGGAGATACTCGTTTTTGCCACTCAGGTAGCTCTTTGTCGATGTACATGTTGGCTGTTGCTTGATCATGTCATATTGTAGTCTTAACTCATCTTGAAGTAACACTCTTTTGGGAAGGATTCATATTTGCAGCTACAGAAGGAGCATCAATTTACATAAAATATATAGTCTATATCTGAATTTTAGGTGCTCATAGATAAAACATTACCTACTTTTTCACTGCATGCCAGACCCTACTGTATGGGATTTACTGGACTTTTTTGGTTTATACCTTTCACTAAAGTATGAGATTTACTGAGTTTGTTTGGTTTATACCTTTCACTACGGTATGAGATTTACTGGGTTTGTTTGGTTTATACGCAGGGTCCTGTAAATTTTGTGTCTATCCATTCTGTTAAACCAAGATTGCGACCGTTGTCTATGGCTATGTCTACTGTGTCAATTCATATCTTTGGAGATGTGCCGTCATCTCCACTTGTTGGCATTATGCAGGTTCTTTCTCTTCTGTAATGATGAAGAATTAATAAAGAGTTTAGTCCAACACTTGCCGGTGGTTATGATTTTATAACTATTTACACAGAAAAAGTGATCTGGAACAGTATATTCTACTAAAAAGTACCTGTCATTTATTTCAAAAAATGGAGCGGTTGTTTCCGTAAAGACCATGGCTCGTGTTCCTGATAAGACGCTGACACTAACTCATGTCTTTACATGTAATACAGGACAAACTCAAGAACTGGAGAAAAACTGCTTTGATCTTGAGTTCAGTACTGTTTTTGGCAGCTGGAATATGGTTTATAGGTATGGTTACCATCTGCTTTGATTTTTCATTCTTTCTGGTTGAATACTCAAACATCACCTTCCAAGAACAAAAACTTGTTCTTCCATGTTTAGCAGGACATTAGAATCGACAGGACGGGACTGAGTGACACAAAAAATAAGTGGATCAAAAATCAAGAAGATGGAATAAGATTGATAAATTACTGAAATGACCCATGTCAAATTAAACCCCTGTAACACCTTTCACCCGCCTACCTCACTCTCGTTTGCAGCTCACTCTCGTTTGTAGCTCACTCTCATTTGTCTAGTCCAGTCCCCGTGCGTGAACCAGTTGCCACTCAAAAAATGATTCAAACTGGCACTTCTTGTAACTAAACGCACGTCTTTGGCACCTTCCTTTTGTGCAGGTGTTTTTCTTCGTGCTCCCGATAGATATGATGAAGATGACGAGGATCCAGAAATCAATACTGAGAAGTCAAACACGACAGCCAAAACGACTGATGCTTCTAGCGAACCATGATCTTGACAACTTCATCGAGTCTTTAATTATTTTTGGACATAGCTGGTTCTTCAGAACCGAAATAACCAAATGCAGATTACTTTCACAGCATGACGTACAACTTTCATAGCACGATGTACAAGTCGAGCATTGTAGCTCGGGAAAAAAGGTGCCAAATGTGTAGACATCCAGCAAGATCCTTTCTTGCTTCCAACTGTTCAAAGTTGTCATGTATGAAAAATGCAAATAGCTCTTGAATTCATATCAAATCAAATTTATGATTGAATCGATTTATATTATGATTTTATCATAAATCACCGAGTACGAAAAAAAATCAAGTCGCCGTTACGACACACATGATGTCGAAAATTTCATCAAAAGTCACTCTAACAATATCTTTAAGAATCTGCATCTAGACAAGTGAAAGCTCCCCAGCTGGGGTTGATCTCTTGACAAGCTTAGCCCATGACTCGTTTGTCTCGGTTATCACCTTCAGAGCGTAATCCTGTCATTCGTTTCAAAGTAAATTCATCATTCAAATAACAGATCATTTGAGTTGTCGACTTATTTTTCTTTTTAAAGGTCACGCTCCTAATTGAAAACTTATTTACATGACCTGCTCCAGTTAATATACTACCAACCAATTTTACCTAAATACCCCCTAACTATATGAAAGATTTTCAACAATTTTGCAGGTACCCGAGTCGTAAAATGCATACCTTATTCGCTGCTTTGTTGCCAAGACCAAATTTGTTGGCAGGTTTGCCATCAGGGATCTTGTAGTCCCTGAACCAGTCTCTGATTGCAGTAAGAGTGCCCTAAAGAAAATTGATGGGTTAGTCCAACAACTAAAACTGTCGTTTTTACCTTTGGAAGTTAAAGATTATTCGAAAGTGGAATGTGGACTCTTTCTGTAGAACAAGTATCAAGTAGAAGTTTCTCTCTGTATCTACACAATTATGCCCATGATTAGTTGGATAACAACATACCGGAAAATGCTTCTCAACATCATCAACGTCATTAACAAGTGAAGCCTTTGGATCATCCAATGAAATCGCAACAATTTTCCAGTCAAGTTCTCCTTCATCAATCATAGCTAAACAACCTAAGGGTTTGACCTTCACAAGTTGGCCCACATTCCCACGACTTTCCCCAATTTCAACAACATCAACTGCGCATATCACATAAAAGACCAAGTAAATGAAGCTGCCATATTAGATCTATATCTTGTTTTTAATTTATTTTCTGTGGATGGATCGAGAGTGGAGCCAACCAAAATCTGTCATGCCATCAATTAACATAAATTAGAAAACAGAAATTGCTGAATGTGATTCAAAGTTACCTGGGTCATTGTCTCCAAATGCTCCATCAACCTCAGGGTTTGCAAGTGATGGATCTTCCCATGTTTGTGGAAGCAATCCGTAATTCCAGTTGATATTGTACCTGGGAAACAATGGGGCCAAGATTTTTGGAATCAACAAGAACGCTGAAAAGCAAAAAGTGGCATGATGACAGGGATACCGATCATATGTGATCAAGAATTTGGAAGTTGGATGTTAATTAATTATCTCTACTAGCTCCAAAGACGAAAGATAACAAGGTAAGTTAACTAAATAAACATGCTTCAGATCTTGCAAGTGCATGGGAGCCCAAATGAGGAGATTTAAGGCTAATGTTAAATAACCAGCTCTATTCAATTTGGATCATTTAACATTTTCATTGGTGGGTCCCATTTAAATGAGTGAGGTGAAACCAAGACACGATTACGGGTCCTATTAAATTGATGCGTTTGACCAAGCAAATAATTTCAGTAAAAAAAAAAGTGTTGGGAGAAGGACTGTAGGATTAGAAAGCCCTAAAATGCCTCGGGACGACTGCACGTTACATCATAGCAGCACGACCAAATGGATTGTTAAGTGCAATCAGACATTTTGTAATGATGACAATGGACATGCTTGTAATGTTTGCTTGAAAGTAGCCCCAAGAAAGAAGTGTGACAATCGACAAGGGACACCAAAACATAGAAAGTTTGAAACTATTGCAACTTTTGTGGGACAGAGGGAGAAGTAAAAATACTCCCTTTTTTCAAATTGTTCAAATTTCAGGGGCAAGCTTTATTTTTCACACTTTTTTCGCAAACCGAATGTCTTCATGGAAACAACCGCTCTACTCTGTGTCATTCAAAAGGTTGTATCCATGAATAGATGACATGGCCCACGGCCTTCCCATCATAAAAAACTAACCTTATTGATTGGTTTCTCAATGCTTGCCACTAGTAAATTACATACAAAAGAAGCAAAAATTAAGTCCTTCGAAATGTAAAATGAGAACTAAAAGTAAAAAGTGGTAAATTAAAAATGTTAGATCCCTTCCTCTAAAGTTCTAGTAGCATTCTTAGCCATGTGATTAAAAACAGCATAAAATAATACCCAAACAAGAGCATAAGCAACAACAGTCAACAAATGGTGGACGACAGAACCATCAAGAAAACAGAATGGCTTACGGGTAGTATCTAAGTTTCCCTTTCTTTGTATCCTGCTTAATGGGGGTGAATATCTCATCAGTAGCAACCTCCATTTTCGCACTCGATTCTTTAGGAATTTCAACAATAAAATTGAATGCTCCATCGCCCACGTGCAATGGTATATCATGCCAAGGTGAAACCTGAAACAACCCAAGTCACATTATCATCCCTACAGAATAAGCGCCATTAACATATCTTATTCACAACCAAGCATAATTAAAGAAACATTTTTCTTTGATCATGGGAATAATCCTGCTTTTCTATGTTCTGGAGAGTTGTATGCAGCTATTGAGAGAAGCGCGCTAGCTGCAATCGAACTAAAGCACATACTAGAAAAGGGTCAAAATCTTGGCTCATATTTATATGATCCGAAATCAAATGTGGTAATCTAAAGATTCCTTAATTACATTTCATTTTAGTATGAAATGCAAGAGTTACATTATCAACCACAAGGGTGGTGCCTGATTGGTTTGAGTTTGACTCCAAAGGTCAAAAATACCAGGAGGTCCAGGTTCAAATCCAAGGAGGAATAAAAATCCCCTGGTGGCCACGGAGGTTCAAATGCGGTGACTCGGGCTATTTGCAAAGCAGGTGGTCGCCCTCCCTGGGATTAGTCGGCTCGTTGGATATCTAGGTTAATCAAAAAAAAGAAAAAAAAAAGAGTTACATTATCCTAATGTAGTAATCTTGGAAAGTTGAAAGAACTGAACTCAAATTTAAAGCCTCAAATTAGTCCATTTGACCTCTTTTTTTCAATTGATTGAGTATGTAACTGTCAGAATTATTTTCATTTCAGACTTCCATGTAAACCCTAAATCAAACCCACTTTTCAATACGAAAACTCCAATCATATAACCTCATCCAATCAGTCATCTGCTACACCATTTGCGTAACAATACTAAAGAGAACACGCAGGATATTCAAATAATCACATTGTTAACCTTTTGCAAACAAATAATCAGTGCCTAATAAATGTATCCAATAAAAAATAATCAAAACCCTACAGCATAACCGAAAAAACACAGAAATCCGAACGAGGGATGAATCAAACCTTTTTGCCAGAATTATCCACGAAAAAAACTCTGTAATCTAGGGTTTCGGGCTGTCCTTCCTCCTTGATCTGGATTTCAGGCTTGTAAAGAGCCGAACAAGTGAAAGCCCTCTTCTTGGAAACTAATCTGGTGTTGTTATTGAAGCAAAAGCTTAAACACTGAGGTTTGAAGGATGGAGAGACAGCGGTTTTGAAGAGTAAAGACGAGGATGTGCCAATGTTGCTTGCTGACACCATGATTCTAGTGGCAGCCATTGATGACCGATTGAGAAAGAGGCTTCAAATTCGAACCAGATAGAGAAAGAGAGAGAGAGAGAGAGGAGAATGGGAGTGAGGTGAAAGGCGTTTCAAACCACTGGATTTTGTAGATACTGATTCAGACTCCATTTTCTCACAACTGGTATATTCTTTCTTTTTTTCCTTTAATTTTATTTATTTCTCAATCAATAATTACTAGTTGTGTATTCGTGTAATGTAGTGAAAGTCATGAATTTTAACAATTTTAAAGTTTCACGGTTTTATTAAAGATGATTTAATGATAATATAAGTTACACGTGATCTTTATATATTAATACAATTTGAATAAATAAGAGTTATGATTCCAGTTAGAGTCTATCGAAGGAAAAAATTATATGACAGTTTAAAAACCAATATATTTAAAATTCAAAATATTTAAATGATTTCACAAATATGTTCGATTTACACCAAGCGTAAAGAATCAAGAGATCGAGATCGAGAGCGAGACCGAGAGTTCTAGAGCAATTGAATGAGAGATGAATGAGAAAACTGTTAATAACTCATGGTGAATATCAGTTTGAATCTCACATTGGGGATGGGGAGAAGACATAGAGGTATAAGAGGATGAAGACATGAATGAAAAGTGTCAAAAGTATCTTGGAAACATGAAAAGAAAATGTAATATTGTGCATTGGTAACTTGTACTATATGTTATTTTAACTGTAGATTAAGAGATTTTATGACTGAATGCATAAAATAGTAGTACTTAATGTATTATGAGTTGTTATTAAGACTTTTAAGACTTTGTGTATAAATGTATAATACTTTGTACATTAAAAATTATTTTTAAGACTTTTGATAAATCTTGTTTATAAGATAGCAAAAATTACATGATATATTTAATTGATTGTTGTTTATAATTTCTTTTAACCTAAAAGCTAATAATATCTTTACTACTTTCTATATATATTTTAAATTAAATTATATTAAGAAATTATTTAATATATTCCAAATATGTATGTGATTTAATTGGTGAAAATCGAAATTAATGGAATAATATTTCTGTTCTTTACTATCATTCACTTTTAAAGATTCTTTTAAATTTGGAGATTTCTGCATTTTTTTTATTACATTTTAAAAAACGAGAAACTCATGAGGGATTTGTTAGAGTAAAAAAAACCTTCATTATATCTATTTTAGAAAATCTGTTAGAAATGTGTTAAAGAGATAGCTATGAATGAATAAAAAGTTTTTACAGTTTAAAGGGTTGTTTGTTTACCTCTTAATAGTTCTATTAAGAGGCAACCTCTGAATCATTAAGAGGTGAATCTTGTTTGGCAAAAAAAAAGTTTGTCTCTTAATGGTTCTAAAAGCTTCTGAATGATTTTGTATCATTGGCCTCCCTTAACCATTAAGAGCCTTAATTTCATTGTAAACAACTACCAAATAATTATATTTCATTTTGCATTATATCATGAGAAGTCTTTTAATCATTTTGGCCACTTAATGATTCTACACAAAACCATTCAACAACTGCCAAACAACCCCTAACTTCAGGTACCATCCATCATCCCATAGTAAGCCCAGCCCAGCCCAGCCCAGCCCAGCCAACCTCACTAGAATATATCGTCCAAAATACAGTAATGCGATAATAAAGACCAAATAACAATTAGGTTAGGCCAGACCAGAACTAAGTATTTAATCTTGAAAATATTTAGCATATCGATACGTATAAGTCCAGTTCCAAAAAAATGTGACTTTGTGAGTAATTGAGTATATAAATCTTAGAAATACTAAGCATATTATGTATTACGAGTAAGTTCAAATAAGAACCGTGGAACAGCTTATTACATATAGCATTCTTGATAAATGTTGGAATAGATATTCATGATAAATGTCATGATAGATATGTATGATTATTCAAGGTTATATATCATGAATAATACATAAAATAGATGGTTCTCATGTCTTTGAAAATTATGTATGGTTCTCATTTGAACCTGTCTCTATATACCATTGTATTTGTACTATAAGTTAAATAGGATGAGGATAACATCAAACTTATTTAGAATCCTTTGTCTGAAAAAGTTTATTATGATACCGTACTTTTTTATTGATTATTTTATCTGCCCTAATTTATAATCTCAACTCCACTCCTGACCCCTCAGGACATGCGATTTACCACTCTGATCGTGGGATCGATAGAGCGAGGCATCTCCAGAGTCCAGAGAGTGGCACATAAAACGAATTGATAACACCCAGTAATCAATGCGTTCAAATACATAAGTATTGAATCCTATTATAGTTATACTGCACGATGCTCCGTAAAACTGATAATCAGTTAAAGACACTCTCGCTCTCACAATTCAAACCCTAAAAATAAAATCTAGAGAGCCGAAGGATACTAGAATAGGATGAAGCTCGCTTGAGAATCGAGATACACAATGCATGTACACTACTAGTCCTACTAAAGATGTTTTAGAATATTAATTCTCATAAAAAAATCTTAAATTAAATTAGATATTGAGTCAAACATTTTATTTTTATGAACAAAATAATATATGTCATCAAATTAATAAAGACTAAGAGGTCGTTTACCCAATTGCTTATCTTGTAAGCACTTACCGATAGGAGTCAACACTATGATTTATTTTGATGCGTAAGATTTTAGTACATTAAAACATATCGAATGCAACAATTTACTGGGGGGTAAGCGCTTACCTGAGTAAGAGTCGTCATTCTCACTTATCGGGTAAGACTCTTCAACCTCCACAATACAAGTAAAAGAACATAAATAGTAACGTCTACCACACATCTTGACCTTCTTTATCTCCTTGCCATTGTCGGCCTTTATCTTTCCCTGAGTTACATTGGCAGCCTTCGTTTTTCCCTTGAGCACAAACAGCTCCAATAATATCAGTGTCCCGCCTCTGGCGTAGCTCAGTTAGCAAAGGAGCGGAGCAACTTTGCGCAAATACAAGAAAGGTCACGAGTTCGATCCCAGCCCCTCCCCCCCCCCCCCCCCGAGTGAGCCAAAAAAATGCCTCCATATGTAGGCATGTATCCTGATTTGAAAATTGCATGAAACTCTCCCTGATCATATAGGTTGGTAATCTTATTTGAAGTAGCACATATACATGTTAAAACATACATATTAAGTATTCAAATATGATATGGAACACTAATATCAACTTAACTCGAACTATATTAACTAAATTACTTTTGTTGCACTCGACAGCGGGCATAAGCAACTTCAGAGGTGACTTCCAAGTCGTTTTCCCTAAAGGGTGAGTTCAATTGACTCGTCGAACTCAATTTTGCCTTCTGTCATGGTAAGTGACTTTCCACGTGACATCCAAGGAGTGTTTCCAAGTTGTGTATGCCTAGGAGACTTTCAATACGATATCTCAATTCGTTTTTGACTATTGTCGTATAGACACTGAAAATCAACCATCCCAACTTCTAAACATCAAGCATAGCATCTTTCAATCAAACATTCTTTCATTTATCTCACTACAACAATTAACGTGAATAATTTATTTGAAATAGTTGTGAAAGCTCAAGATGTTCATGTATATTAAGAGGGTGTTTGGGGGATTGCTTATAAAAACAACTTATTGACTTATTTCGGTGTGACACCGGTAATAAGCACTTTTGAGTGTTTGGATAAACATTTTATACTGGTGCCAAGCCGGTAATAAGGAGTTTTTAAAGAAGTTAAATCTTACTAACTTATAATAAGTTGATAAACACTCTTGTAAAAAAAAACTATGTTGTTTCAAATAAGTAATCCTAAACACCCCTTAACAACTAGAAATAATAAGAGTTAATTTTCTTATCATATTTTACTTATATATATATATATATATATATGTATATATATATATATATAGAGAGAGAGAGAGTTTGTTTCAAATGCAACTCATCACATTTGTACAACCAATACAACCTAATAAATTGAAATATTTATAGAAATGATGAGAGTTCATTTATTATGATTTAAATATTTATGGAAGATGAATAAAGTTCGTTAATTATGATCAATACTTTATATTAGGAAACAATCAAAACTTTTATGAAATTACATATTCATCAAATTAAATGGACGGTTGATATTGAGTTGTATTGGATGTACATATGTAAGGGGTTGTATAATAACTCATCTCTCTCTCTCTCTCTCTCTCTCTATATATATATATATAGGGTCCATTCAAAGAAGAACTGATTAGTTTGTGGTAACCGTAAGATCCAATCTCAAACATAAATCAATGGTTAAATTAGTAAATTAATAATTTTGGTAATTTTAAATTAAAATATTAATTAAAGGCATTTTAGTCATTCTAGATTTTTTTTTCTCTCCTCCTCCTCTCTTCTCTCTCCTCTCAACTCTCTCCGTCAAACACCTACTCTTTCCAACGAACACCATATCAACACATCATGATGCACACTGTGATATGCTTCATAAAATAACGAAAAAACAMAGTGTGATACACTTGGTAAAGAAAACATTACCTGATATATTGTGTTACACTTCGTAAAACAACAAAAATATATTGTGATACACTTCGTATAACGACAAACATACATTGTGATACTCACTATGATGCCAAATATGATTGATGAATACAACTGTGATACCACTATGTTACCACTGCAATACCCAATAAGTTTGAACAATAAAGAATTATATATTTATTTTCTCAATTTAACTTCATAGAAAGAAACTTCCATAATTTATTTGATTAATAATGAAACAGTATCAATCTCTTTAATTGATAACCGTTAAGAAAAATATTAATAAAATTACTATTATACCCTTTTTCTTAATTAAGGTAATACAATTAATATAATAAATGATTGGCTTATATTGAACCTTACAATTACCACAAATTAATTAGTTTTCATTTGATTAAACCCATATATAGGGGCCTAATCAAATGAGAACTGAATAGTTTGTGGTAACTGTGAGGTTCAATCTCAACCACAAATCAACGGATAAATTAGGAAATTAATAATTATGTTAGTTTGAGTTAAAAAAAATATAATTAGAAGGCATATTAGGTATTTTTTAAAAACTCATCTTTTCTCTCTCTTCTCTCTTCTCTCCTCTCTCCGACCTCCAATCTCTGGCC